TCAGTACTCGACAGGGCGCAGCTGAGAAAACTCCAGCGTGATTGTCAGCATGTCTGTTATTTGACAGTAATTTGGCAGTAGTCGAATCCATCTATGTGATGCGGTCACAGACGTTTTCTGCCACATTGCTGCGCTAAAATATCCAGTAATGAAATGCTCCTCCGTCACCCCATGATCATTTTAATTCTTGTACTTGCTTGTTAAAACTGTGTGTTTGTCATGGTGTGTTTAGTCTGCTTGTGTGTTCGCAATTACTAATAGCTTGAGGCGAGGAATAAGTTGGAAACAGAATGGTGTCATCTCCTACTGTCATCAAATACACAGCCATCAAACTAATAGCATCTGTCACGGGAGAGGCCACTGGAGGAAAGATGCTGTAACAGTTTAGGGATGATCTTATGCCATCAATTTGGCGTACATATTTTCAGCTTCATAGTAAGACAAAATAAATGATACCAGAGGGGGAAAATATGTACTACATGAGGGAAACAAAAAGCCTACTATACAATAAACCCTTTCTTTTTCTGCTTAGTGGTGTACCTGCAGTACTGTGCTTAAGTCTTAGGCTGCCTCTAATTTTGTTATTTCTTTGCTTCCAATGAGCTATTCTGTAATTTTTTTAATAGATTTTCTGAAGGTCTTTCAAAGTACGTAACTCACATAACAGAAAATGTTTAAATTGTATTGTTAGGAACTTTGTTACTAGCACTTTTCTCCCATTTCTTTACTTACAAAAATGCCAAAAATAACAGTTTCATAGGCATAAAATAGTAGTCGTTTTCCACCAACAAGGTGATTCCCTGAGCTATTAGCTGAAACCTTGGTGTATCTTGGAGTCGCAGGCCAAGAAAATATCTACAGCAGATCAACAGTGTATTTAAGTCATGTCCTTAAGAAATATGAATAAAAAAGTCCCACAGGACTTAAGATCCATCTGGCCCTTCAATTGGTACATCTACTTTTTGTTGAAGTCATTCTTAATGAAGGGGAAAGTGGACAAAAGGCTGATGTACGCCAAATTACACAAGAACTGCACTGAAAATCAGTGGAATTATGAGTGCAGAAAAGTACCGTCATATTTTGATCTGCCATGCAATACCATTGAGACGGCATCTGAATGGGAACAGCTTCATTTTTTAGCATGACAATGATCCCAAATACTCTGATAATTCAGTAAAAGCATACTTGGATAGAAAAACACACAATGGTCAGTCATGGATTGGCCTCCCAGGCAAAACAACATTGCTGAAGCCTTGAGGGATCATAGCAACAGAGAACTGAACAAAAGGCAGCCAGGATCCAAAGAAGAGGTTTGAATGTCTTAAAGAAACCTGGAGAACTATTCCTGATAAGTACTTAAAAGAAATTCCAAAGGAAAGCTTGCCTGAAAGAGTTCAGGCTTTGTTGAAGTATGAAGGTTGTCATAAAAAATGTTGACTTTGAACCTCATTAGAATTGTACAAACTCTATTTTTCCCTTCTATAATGTACTTACATGAATTTATGTTTCAATAAAGTGCTCCACCTGTTTTCCATCTTCCTAGCAAAACATTAAGAAATGTGGAGAGGCTTTGCACGGTGATGCAGTCATCCGTGCTATCACAAATCGTAAGCAGACCAAATAGAAAGACCAATATGTTAGCAGAAATTTGATCTTGGCTATGATACCAGCAGTGAGAGATCCTAAAACACTTGACCTGGGCAGCCCTGAGCCAGGCTTTTTGAAGCTGCGAGCTTGGTGTGTAAAGTAACCACGGTTGGTTACTTTACACACCGAGACCTTGAGGAACATATTCTCAGCTATACCCATATGAAAAAGAAGCAGAACTTTATTTTTGTACGTGCTGTATGTCTCATAGATTATTCATGAAACTTGCCACTTTCACATCTAGTAAGACAGACAACCACACGCTTTCACATCCACACACACAGCCGATTTAGACTCCCCGATTAACCTAACATGCATGTCTTTAGACTGTGGGAGGAAGCTAAAGCGGAATCCTATGCAAACCATTACTTCACACAAAAAGGCCCCGGCCAACTCCTCTTGCTGTGAGTCAACAGTGCTAATCACTATAGCACCATGCTGCCCCTCATGCAACATAATTATAAGGATTAAGTGTGACTCAAGTAAACATTATATATTTGAGAAGAATGCAAAAGAGTCCACTTTGATGATGAGTAAATCGTAGTCTTGTGAAAAAATAAACATGTACTGTTAAAAACAAAAGAATATATAATATTTTTTTTTCCTTTTTCCATATGTGTATTGTGTTGATGAAAGGAGTGAAAAACCAACACATTGTGTCAGTTTGGAGGCCTATAGGAGAATGTGGGAGAAGTGAAGATGAGGCTTCTTGGAAGTCCTGCTGGGAGACTTCAGAGCTCCTACTGAGTTTGACTGTCGAGAGACTGGGAAAGAGACACCAGCACGTTCTTTTTTATTTTTTTCGTTAATCTGATCAACTGTCTTCTCTTTTCTACATTTTAGACACATCACATGTAAAGATGAATGCCAAGCTGCATCCATATATATACTCTCTGTTTGCAATGCTCAGACACTTATTTAGCATCAAGTCGCAGAAAAATAAAATACTCAGCTTTCACTTACTAAAACTGAAGGACACACTTTTTGGACGTGCTGTTCTGGGGGCAGCCTCAAGTGGCCTTCAGAGGAACTGCAGCTTTTGGCACCGTTCACTCTTCATTTTCAGACCCAGAGGTTGTCACTTTGTTTTAATCTGTCTTTTGTAATGGCCTGGACCTGCACTATTTAGATTTGTACACAGTGCAGATAACTTGAACGGCTGTAATGAGTAACTCATAATGAACAGAACCCCAGGCTGAATTGCCTATTTAGAATTCTAATAATGATTTTGCAAGAAGTAGAAAAAATATCTTTTTTTTTTCCTTCTCGGAGACGAAGGAGAAAGCAAGTATTATGTGGAGACTGCTCTCGTCTGACTGTTCTCCGGTGACAGTCAGTTTTATATTGCAGCTTCAATAATAAATAATAAATCTCTATAATAAATTTGACCTGCTAAAATTCCAGCTGGCATCAGCTTTTGGGGCAGATTTTTGTATGGTGAGGCATCGATTGGTTGATCTGAAAGTATATGTGCCATCTGGAAGAAATTATTCTAAAATTAACCAGGGGCAACAGTTCAAGGCTAAATTCAGGCTTAATCAGAGCAATCTCTACAGGGATTTATTAAGCTGTGAAAATTCAGGTGTAGCGGTCAGAATTGGAAGATAATAACGCTTCAGGTCAATTTTACTTTCCCTCTGGAAGCGAATCCAATGACTGACTCGACTCTGCTGAGATGAAACTCTTTCACTCGGTAATGTTGCTGATGCAAACGTGTGTTTCTGAGCCAAAAGATGAATGGATGTTCTTGTGTCCTGTTGCTTGGTTTCCGTGTTAGCTATGGGTTTACAAATAATGGCCTCATAAAACGTATTTGTTCGCTTAACACCCTGAAGTGTAGTTTTCACACAGAGTGCCGAGGAACAATTTTAACGGCTAAAAGTAAAGCAAGGATGCTTTCAAAAACAGATGAATTAGTGGATTTCATTTAATTGAGAACAAGTAATGAAAAGAAAAAACGTAAATGGATAGTAGCCCAAATGCTTGTGGGTGTTTAGGCTTGTTTTTCTGCTGCAGAATGAAAGCAGTATGATCAGAGGCCTCACTGATTTGAGTGCGATGGATAAGAACGAAAAAATCTGTGCCTAAAACTTCTGCACAATTCTGTATGTTGTTGTCACATTCCCACAATACAAAACACAGCAGCACCCTGATTCTGTCACCCTGCATTTCTGTACCCGTCACTCCTGCTTCTCCTGTTGCTCTTTAAACTCTTTCCTCTCCTTGCCCTACCACTCCTTACCTCATTTTCCCAATTTTCTCCCTTGTACTCACTCACCCCCCACCTTTGCTCCCTTCTCCGTTATATCTTTTCTCGGTCCTTGTCCTTACTGAACTAGAACATTGTTGTCTTATAATACACCAAACAAAAGACCGAAGAAGAAGATCGTTTTAGACTATGTTTAAGCTGATGGGAGGGAGGCGGAGATTGTGGGTCGGGTTCTTGTCAGCACACAAACCACTATTCACTGCCTGAGGAAAAGCCTGTCACTCTTAATCTCATATTGGGTTTGGCTGCACTTCCCTGCGTTTGTGTTTTCCAGTGTGTGTGTTTGCTGCATGTGGAAAGTGTCTGTGTGTGCTCATATATGTGTCTCCTGTACGTCACCCTGTGGTAATCTGTGTTAAAAGAAAAAAAATCTCCATATGATTTCGGGGTCATCGCATGATTTTTATTTGTCTCTATTTACCCCAAAAATATACTGTGGAACTGCACTTACCTTCAGTTTTACTGACCAGAATTCACTGTACATATCCTCGAGGCTCCAAATGTACTTTCACGTCTGTATTACAAATTACATAAATATCAGTTAGCTGTATAAACCTGGGGTTACAGTCCCACACGCTAACACAAATTCCTGTCTAATAAGGAAACACGCACAATGTTTCTTTTAGTGTTTAAGTTTGAACACAAATCCAACAACACAAAGTAAAGTTAAAATCCAGATTTTACTTTAGGAACCTGTACAGGTGGAAATGAAGGCTACAATGCTACAAGCCTAGCTGCTGTTCACTGGTTTTGTTACCTACTGAAGATCAGTGGCTGGTTGCAGGGTTGGGATTCGCCATTCACACAGCTAAAACATCACTCTGGCCAGCTGTGTGCGTGCATGCTGTCTGCAGGTGCTTGCAAAGAGCTGATGGTATGTTAGCAGTATGATGCAGGTAATTCTGTCCTGGACACATGTTGCACTTCACTATTTCCTTCTTGTTCTTTCATGAAAGAAAAATAAAAGTAATCACCATTCCTCAGAAGTTTCAGACCCTCCACTATTGTCCTCCTCCCTGCACATGATTTGGAAACGAATGCAATGTGATAACTACTGATCTGTCACCTCTTTGTATTTTAATAGGTCGGTATAGACTTCACGGCATCCAATGGGAACCCCCGAGAACCGTCCTCCCTCCACTACATCAACCCACTGGGCAGCAACGAGTACCTTGCTGCCATATTAGCTGTGGGACAAATCATACAGGACTATGATACGTGAGTATTTAAATCAAATCCTGTGGGGTGGTGCAATGTTTTAAGTCAGTTTAGTGCAAACATTTACATTTTGCATATAGTTCTTGCAAAGAAAGGTCACATAGAGCAGTAAGGGATGAGTGAGGCTGGTTGATGTAAAGGTTTATCGTTTCACTGCTGAGATCCATAAACTGTACAGATAAGATGGACTTAGTCTCTGTATCCTCATTTTTATATATTTTTACTGCCTTGCTGAAGCCTTGAGCCTCAGCAAGGTTCAAGAGTAGCAATCTCTCAATAAAAAGGCAGGCCTACCCAAAATGATACCCTGCTTTATCATATATTTTACTCTAAACAACCCCAGAATTTATAAACTAAATATCATGTTGCACTGAAGAAAAACTTGAAACTGCTGATTAAGACCACAAACTCATCACGAAGTCAAAATTAAAGTAAGCAGTGATGTCATTTTATCATGGACCATTCAAACTCTGTCCCCAGCGGTTCATCAAAAAAATAAGGGTTTAGAGTAGCTGCGCATTGACTTCCCTTTTCAGACTATGCCATGTTTATATACAGACTATGCTAATCATATTAACTTGTGAACCACAAAGAGAGTGACTGGGGTCCTTAAAAGAACAACAATGACACATTGGTTTCAGAGTATTTTGGCGAAGACATTTACATATTCCAGTTTTGAAGTTTGAGCTTCGAGCAGTTGAGGCTTTGTGGAAAGAACTAAACAGGTTTATCAGTTCCCTAATACCCATCTTAATCCCATCATCTACACAAGCGCCACTGCACAGAGCTGTAGCATGGGCATCACTTTTGGGCTTTAAACACACAAACATCTATTTGTTCTTTTACATTTTGTGTTGAAAATAAGACAGTATAAACAGACTAAGAACACCAATAGCATCTATCGACTGCTAATCCTCCTCTTTCAGTAAATAATTGTACACCAGTATGTCTGATTTTCTGTCCTGTCCTGTCTTTAATGTCTTTCTTTGTGAGAAGACATTTTTCCTCACTGCATCATTTTGCCACCAGTTCTCTTCTTGCTTTTCTGTAAATGTCTTTGAATGTGTTTCTATGTGAACAAGGTAACAGGATTTTTTCTGCTATCTAAATCCAGCTTTTTGAATTTGTATGCAAAAAAAAAGAGGGAAAAAAAGAAGGTTTAACTAATGTTCCAATCTGTTGTCATGGTTTCCTCCTCAGTGACAAAATGTTTCCAGCTCTGGGATTTGGAGCCCAACTCCCACCAGACTGGAAGGTATGTGTGTGTTGATGGTGTTGTTGTTGTTGTTGTTGTTGTTGTGTGCGTATGTGTGCGTGTTCCAAACACAAACGTAGGTGATACATGTATATGCATGTGGCAAAGAGAGAGGAGGGTGGGTTGTCATCAGCGGACTTACAGTTAAAGCCGAGATGTATTATTTTACCCACAGACACACACGGAGACACACAAATAAAACTATAAGCGTTATAGATGCATATTCACATGATTACGCAACTGTCAACCCATCTGTGTTGCCATGGCACTGAGCTGATGAAAAGGACAAAGAAGAGAGAGCAGCACACAGAGGGATGGAGAGAGGGTGGGAGGGAGAAGGTGGGAGAAATGGACGCAATTTCTTAACAATATTGTAAAGCGTAGTGAAGGATTATCATTCGATTCATTCATTTCTTTTCTCCTCAGGTGTCACATGAATTTGCCATCAACTTTAACCCAACAAACCCTTTCTGTTCAGGTGAGTTACCGCACAGGAGGTTATGATGTCATCTAGACCTCTGCGGCAACCTTATAAGTATTTACAAATAGTTCTCATTTTCATAATTTTTTTTTATTTACCCCATCTGAGTTCTGTCTAGTCTAGAAGTCTAGTTACCCCATTTACATTTTTGGCCTTTCATACATGATATTAGTAATTTTTCAACATAAACCCATGCCATAAAAACATACTTAGATATGTTTACACTTATAGGATGTTGTCATGTTTTTGGATGCAGAAAAAGGAGGCCACTAACTGGTTAATAGGTGTAAAACCTGTCATTTACAGATAGCTATATAATTAAGGTTATGGTAGAAAAAGCACTGTGTGATTAAAAGAAACCACTAATAAAAAAAAAACATGCCATCTCCAGATCATGTGACCGCAGCAGGTGGTGCACTCCTCTCTAAGTGCCTTGCTGAGTAAATAACTCCTTAACACATCACCTACACTTGCTACTTTGGATGCTCGTCTAAATTAGAAGTATGAACGCTAATGCACATTATGACACCAAACAGTTCAGAGCAGTGAAAACAGTCCATTCCTTCACATTTAAATTAAAAGTAACAGTGTCTAACAACTCTGACTCTGGGAATCTTTACACAGATTTATTACATTTTACAACACTCGGGCTTCTGAACAAAAAAAAATTACCTTAAAAAGGGTTGTTTTTTCTTTTTGCCGTGGCTACACTTACGCTTTAAACACTGGACTTCAATTTGCGTGTATTTATTGAGTATAAAGCACCATACCCGAGCAAAGCTTTACAGAGCTGCTTGCATGGCTGCAGATCCTTGCTTCTGAGTAAGAGTAAGTGCATACCCTCACCTTCATCGCACAAAGATGACTTGAAAAGATTCATAAATTGTCAGCACCTCGCTGTAATAACCTTATAGTAAGCTCTCCTTTTACTACGCTGAGCTTGCATCTGCTAACACGTTTGAAATGTGTAGGATGCAAACGTATTTATTGACAATTGCAAATCAATTGAGTGCCAACTGCTAAAAGCACATCTGTGAGACCCAGAAAAAAAAATTTTGTGATTGTGTAACACATGTTTTAGCCTGACTGAGGCAAAGAGGTTATGTTAAATAACTCCATTTATACTCACCCCTGTGCTGAAAAAGGCCCGCGTCAGGACATGAAGTTCAGCTTGTGTTTATTTTAAAAAAAAACTGCCTCTGCAAATGCCCTTTTCTTTTTAGGGTTAGCTTATTTTCTGGGCCAATACAGCCTCCAGTGCACTCTGAAATGAAAAATTCTAGGCCAAAGGAAAAAAAAAGACTTTAGCTGTTATGCAAAACTTTATTCTTGAAACTGCAATATGCAGCTGTCCTGATAACAGAATGGTTTTATGTTCTCAACTATCAGCGTGCAATGTTTTGAATAAGTGCACATTTGCGCGGCATGTTTTTCTCTGAATGTGTATATCTTTATGAAGATGTGAGTGAAGGGAACACAAGTTTTTATATGTGTGTGTATATATATATAAACGTGTGCTCCCTTCACTCACATCTTCATAAAGAACAATTTTGACCTTGAAATACTCTATATAAACTTTTTCCCATCTCTCCCAGGACTTTACAAACCTCTCTCCCTCTTGCTTTTCTCTCTGTTTCTTTCCTGCCCTCACTATTTCCAGCTCATCTTCACATTTAAAGTTTATTTGAGTCTAAATTGTTTCTCTCTGCCTTTCTGCATCTTTAGGTGTGGAGGGCATTGCCCAGGCCTACTCTGCGTGTCTCCCTCACATTCGCTTCTACGGTCCGACAAACTTTGCTCCAATCATCAACCATGTAGCACGTTTTGCTTCTCAGGCCCTTCAACAGGAGAAAGCAGCGGTGGGTGGCTACAACTTACCTATTTACCTGCTTTTTACACTCTTAGTTGTTCTTTAGTTAAACCTCTCAAGACACTGTACTCCACAGATAAAACTATTTATATATAAAAGCAGGCTGTATTCCACAATCATCTCTACTTTTCTATCTTGTTTGAGAGGTTGACTGTGTTGCCGGAGGAGTTTGTGTATTCCCAAACGCAGATGCTGATTCTAACGGTAACCACTGCAAATCCAAGCTTAAACACAACCAGACTTTCACTGCAATCTGTCAGAACGCTCTCTTCTTTTGGCGCACCTGTCCATCAAGGCTGTAGGTTACATATACATACTGAGTTTGGTAACTTTATAGATCACTGCTCACTTAGTTACATCTTATTATAGCGGGCAGGATCCTCTTTTACCTTCAGAATGGCCTTAGTTCTCCTAGTCATAGATTTAACAATGTGCTGGAAACATTCCTCAGAGCTTTTGGTCCATATTGACATGACTGAATTTGCAGCTGTTGCACATTCATGATCTGAATCTCCTGTTCAGCATCCCAGAGGGGCTCTAATGGGTTGAGATCTGGTGGAGGGCATCTGATTACACTGAACTCATTGTATTGAGACGAGGAATGGAGGTATGCTGCGGTGTTTATCATACAGTTGATAATGAGGTTCTGTGTAATGTGCCAAGGAAATATCCCCTTCGTCATGAGGAGCGAATGCTTATGCAGGATTCTGAGACTGTTCAGTTCTGGTGAGCCTCAGTTTCCTGCTCTTAGCTGACAGGAGGGACACTTGTTTTGGTCTCCAGTGTTGTGCCTTCAGAGATGCTCTTCTGCACTTCATTGTAACACGTGGTTATTTAAGGTCCTGCTGCCTTCCTATCAGCTCTTAATAGTCTGGCCATTCAAAGACCTCTGGCATAAACAAGCCATTTTTGCTCAGAGAACTGCTGCTCACTATTGTCTATTTTTCTGACCTTTTTCTATACAGGGGAGGGGGGTAGAGGCATGCTTTCGCCTATCCCAGCTGTCATTATATACAACAGTTCTAAAACATTGACAACTATTTATGTCAATTTTGTTGTATATAGCCTCTCCCCCCTGAACCACAGGCGACCGTGCCACTTACTGGTGTTGGCCAGAGGGGCCGATAGCGCGATATGGTAGCCTCGCTTCTGTTGTAGCCAGGGCAGCTGTGGCTACAACTGTAGCTCGCCTCCACCAGTGTGTGAATGAATAGTGGAATTGTAAAGCGCTATATAAATGCAATCCGTTATTATTACCAATTCTACTTTAAGTAAAGACAGCACATTTTAAAGCTGGAGTGTATGAGTGTTACATTAAAAATTGAAAGTAAAAATGTTGAAAGACTTAGCTTTAGAATATCTCAATATCTTGCAGCTGTTTTTTTCTGTTGTTATCTATGTTACCTATAGTAGCTGAGATAGGCTCCAGCCCCCCTGCAACCCTGAATGGGATAAGTGGAAGACAGTGGTTGGATGGATGGTATCTCTCACAACTTAAGGAAAAAAAGAAATCATTCTAAAAAAAAAAAACCTACTCTTTTCTATATTTTGAATTTTCAGCCACCACACACAGCAGATAAACTGGATTCCTACATTGAATCATTCAAGCCTTTTATGAAGGACCGCATACAGTGCTGAATTAGCCTGCTAGTCCCAGGTACTGTCCCTATTTCACGGTATACCAGAGTTTTACATCAGGGATCTGGAGTGACATTTCTATGCAGGACCACAGGTAGTGATGTTTTACGTCATCCAATAAGGACCGATGTGCCTCGACCTTGAGAGGGGAGCATCTGTAGTGATGGACAGCGACTTTGCTACAGCTGTGGCTGCACAGAGTGACAACAACAGAGGACAGCTCATAACAAAAAAAGAAATAGGAAGTGTTGACAATGATTTTCTGAGGCCAAGATTATACTTGCTTGCGGACGTGGACGCAGACACTGCTGCTGCTCTATTATACTTTTGACTTTTTCTTGGGGGCTATTCAGTTAGTCAGTTCCTGTGTAGTGCCTGTCATGAAAAAATTGCTGCCACATGGGCAGCCACGCAGAGCCCTTACTTCCCTTGGATCTAAGCAGACCCTTGCATTCCCAAGAACATGAAAATTCCAACACTGTCGTGTTTATAGGATTGTGTAACTACACCAGAAGGAGATCAAATCTGTTAAAATCAGCTCAGGTGTGACAATTAAAGGTTTTAATTTTCCTTCAAATGTGAACGAACCCTGAGTTAGTGCAGCTAGCACAGCTTAGAGCTGACATTGCCCAAAGCACAGAGGGAATATCTACACCTGTGCTGCCCTTAACAGCTGCAGAAACACACATGTACTCTCTGTGATGCTACCCAATTAAGTTTATAAAGAAAATTAAGGAACAAAGAGAGGAAAGGTCACAGGAACAGTTAAATCAATACATGTTGTCGTCTGGGGAAATTAAACACTGACTGAAATTTTCAGGCACTCGGAAACCTAATTCAATTTCTTTCTATTTGTTAAGCTTTTTTAATAACGGCAAAAAACGAGCAAAGGTCAAGCAGGGTTCCCTCTAATGGAAGTGGTACCTAATTTAATTGATTTTGATTAAGGACGTTAGAAGTCTTATTTTAGCTTGAGTTTGTGCCTTTTTTTTGAGGGGGCTGGTTGCCTTTTTTTTTTTTTATTTTTATTGAATTTTATTTTTTTTTAATTTTCATTTTTTTCTTTTCCTTTTTAAAATTTATAAATGCAATTTTTGTGACATTCCATTTAAATAATTTTCTTTCTCTTTAAAACTGTGAACATTTCCCAAGCACTCTAAAGAGCTCCCTCCAGTCATTTGTCTCCAAACCTATGATAACGCTGCAAGTGATTATCAAAATATAAAATAAAACTTTGATTTAATGTGAAATTATTCAATGAATTATTTTGAATCTCATGTTAGCGTGATGTTTGTGGGGTTTTGTTCATGTCCGTATGAGTTTTGCATTTGTATGCTTGAAATTGGGATGTCAGTTTCAGTCGTTGTTCATGCAAAGTACAAAATACAGCAAGTCTGTATTATTCATGAGTGTAAAAAGGTCCCCTCTCTACCTGTGAATTAATTCATATTTTGAAAGATTATAATAGAGGATCCAGGTATTAGGTAATCTTTTGACTTGGGATGGAAATTATTTTTGCTTGTGTGATTCTCTGCTAATCCAAAGAGACCATATACCCAACAGATTGCATGTTATATGTATATGTGTTGTGATTTCTTTGAGCAATTGTTTGAGTATTTGCTTTATTCCCATATTGCAGTCCGATTAGTAGTAGTTGTGGATTAAAACATAAAAGCCAAATTGTAAGCAGAACCATAAAAACATAGGATGAAGCACGTTATGTTACGTTATATTCCTGGAAACAGAGACAATTATTTTACTCAATAAAAATTCTACTTCAACAAAAAAAATCAAAAACATCTTAAAACTTCATTTTACAATTTAGATTTGACCATCAATTCTTTATATGCAGGTTTTTATGTCCAAGACACCGATGAAATTAAAGTTAAATTTGATAGTTTTTAAAAGTAAATGTAAAAAAAGAGACATTTCTGATTGGATGCCAAGAATCAAATTAGGACTGTGCTGGAAGGCGCTCATTCTGTCACTTTGATATTTTATAGCTTCATACTTTATGGAAAAGTTGAATTCATTTATTTACTTTTAGTGATTACAAACTCATTTGGTTTGCACTGAAATATCTTGAGAGCTAAAAAACCCAAATCTACCTGGCCCTATTAATCGCCCTCTAAACCTAATGAGCTGTAGACGGATTAGTCGACGGGCCAGATGAATCTCTCAGGTACTGTGTCAGATCTGGCTTCCTGGATTTTTCCTGTTTCTTGTACATGACTTTTAAATACAGTTAATCTGCCATAGATAGTTTGTAGGCCTGCCACTTCTTATTTGGGCCTCCATTTGCCCAGTTTCCTCACATTTTTTAAGGACACACTATACATAACTCATCCATCTGGCTACGGATGAGTTATAAAAAAAATAAACATTCACCTTAGAGAGTCTGTAAACTATCTATATAGGCCAAAATGGTATTTTTAGCCACTTTTAATTCAGTTTTAGTTTAATCTTATTTAAAGCTGGCATTTTAACATGGGGGTCTGTGGGCGCTGACTGACTGATGCCTTCTTTCATCTTATGTTTCATTGTGATTCTGTGTCACAGGTATTTAGGCTCTTTTTTTGATTCAATCTCAGTTTTTGTCATTTTTCTGCTTTTGCTGTTCGATGGTGCTCTGCCCTTTATGGCGTGCAGTTAGTAAGTTTCCCTTCATTCAATTTAGTAGCCATATGTATACATATATCGTATCTCACACCAGAGAAATGCAAACATTACACTAATATTTATTTACCAACCAGTAATAGTCGACAGGGAATGCCTGTCAGGGAAGTTGATACTCACAATTTATCTACACTGATGGCTGACGGAGCTAACAAGTGTGTGCATCTGTTGGCTCGGTCTCCTGGCATGTGGATCAGCGTGTCAGGAAGGAAGGTGACAGACTGGAGTGACGACGTCTGTCCTAGCTTCTTCTATCTTACACCTCATTGCAGCTGAGACACTGCCCAGGGAGGCTTCTTGTTTTTTCATTCTCGTGCCAGTGGCTCGGTTCTGGGTAGGACTCAATCAGTCGCTGCTGGGTGGACTTGTTTAAAGTTTGTCTGTGATCATCGGCTTTTGACACTGTTGACCACCACATCCTCCTCGAAAGGCTTAAACATTGGGTTGGTGTATCGGGTACTGCCTTGGAGTGGTTCTCCTCATATCTACATAACCGATCTTTTTCTGTGGTGGTCCCCGATTTTAGGTCATCTTCTACTTCCCTTCCTTGTGGTGTCCCTCAGGGTTCGGTTTTGGGGCCTTTATTGTTCTTAATATATCTTCTCCCACTCCAGCACATAATGGGCTCTTTTGAGGACATCTCTTATCACTGTTATGCTGATGATATTCAGTTGTACATCTCTTTTAAGCCCCAGGATTTATCTAAGCTTCAACTTTTAAATGACTGCTTAGATTCTATCAAACGTTGGATGGCTGTAAATTTCCTCCAACTCAACGAGGGGAAAACTGAAGTCCTCATATGTGCTCCGGACAGTTTTGTATCCCAGATAGTGAAAGCCCTTGGTCCTCTTTCTGTGTATGTTAAATCCTCTATCAAGAATTTAGGTGTCACTTTTGACTCGACTCTTACATTGGATGGGCATGTGAAATCTCTGGTTTGGTCTTGTTTTTATCATTTAAGAAATGTGGCTAAGCTAAGCCCGATTTTATCTTGTTCTGAACTGGAGATTGCTATACATGCATTTATTTCCTCACGCTGGACTATTGTAACTCTTTGTTTATGTGTCTAAGCAAAGGTTCTCTGGATCGTGTGCAGGTTGTGCAAAACGCTGCAGCTAGACTTTTGACAAGATCCTCCAAGTATTCACATGTGACACCATTGCTATTTCAGCTACACTGGCTTCCTGTTGAATTTAGAGTACATTTTAAGATCCTGGTCTTGACATTTAGAGCCTTGCATGGACTGGCACCTCCCTACATCTCCGATCTGCTACAGCCCTATGTCCCTAGCAAGTCCCTGAGTTCATCTGATCAGGGCTTACTTGCTATAAAACAGACTAAAATGAGAACTAATGAGAGCTTTTGCCACCGTGGCCCCGAGACTGTGGAACTCTCTCTCTCATACATTAGGAACTGTGGACTTGGTAGTTGTTTGGGATTTCTGTCTAGAAAGGTGCTATATAAATAAAATGTTTGTTTTTTTTATGCTGGGTACATTACAGTAGACACATATACATCCTAAACACCTTTAGCAGCAGAAAAAGTCCTGAAGAGCATATTTCAGCTGAGCTCGCCTGATCTGAATTGACTTTCATGCAGAAAAACGCCTGAACTGCAACATGCTGTACTTCCAGTGGCTTATTATATGTCAGTGAAGCTAACACCTAAAACCCAAAATAAGAGCAACCCTAAGGCTCTATGACACATCCAAAAAAGACGTTCTATTTTGGCAGCGTTTCTTGGTAGAGTGTTCCTTGAACACCGGGACCGACTCATTCTTATGATTTTTCGTAACTTCCTGTTTTGTTTGTTTTGCTTTATGATATATATCTTTGTGTCAAAAACAGAATTATGCCACGTTGCTCTTCTGCTGCTTTATAAACACTATAGAGTGTACAAAAACAAACAAAAAGCACCGGAGTAGAGACAGCGTTCTCATGCATAAGGCTCCACATGATGTTGTCATTGGTATGAGTGTATAGCACTCGCTGAAGTTTGGGATCTACAAACTTTAAACATATACATGTCCTTCTCCAGTACATATCCACTGGCATTTCTACTGCCTATATGTGACGAGAGTGTAGTGGCTGGGTATCATTATGCTCCCACGGTGCTTTTTGTCCCTAATTGTACCCTGTCACCCTGTGGAGAAAAAATACATGAGCAGAATACACAAAGGCTTGTACTCGTCTGTGTGTTGTGCGCCAGAATCCTTTTGTTTCTGTAAGGAAATGATTGCAGACCCTTTTCTTGTCTTATATTACAGCGAGTTCAAACACGGGTTGAAATTAGGAAGGAATAACAGACAATGAGGATGTAACAGCTGCAGCACGAATGCGCGTGCGTGCGCACAGGCTACACGCTGAGTTACTGGTTAGACTGGTGTGTGTTGGAGAAAGTCGGTGGGTAGGCTTCACAAATCAGCTCCTCCTCAGCCTTGGCGTTTCTGTTTCTCAGATAATGAGAGAACCTGCGACTGCAGACTGTGCGAGTGTGTATGATCACGCTCCTGCCAGTGACACGCGTACACACCCAGGCTGCAGGCCAGCGCAGTCTGTGCGTGCCTCAGTGTGCGAGCGACCCTGTCTGTCTGTGTGATAATGATTCTCTAATGAGCGCTGCTGTTAGCACATTAAAGAGACAGGCTTCAGAGTCGTCCTCGCGTGTGTGGCTGTTTGCGTGTCACGTGGAAGTGCGATTTTCTTCCAAGAAAAGTCAGTGTGCATCGTCACCTTGTCTGTTCTTATCGTAGGACAACCATTCGCATTTCATTATGCAGAATTGATGCATGCTATTTTGTGCCAGAGAGAGATAAAGTCCAGCAGTTATGTATTTGGACAGTTTTATTTGGGTTTTTTGTTATAAAATAATCCCACATTAAAGCATGTAGTCTTAGCTTCTTCTTTTTAAAAATACATTTGCATCAGAACACAGAAAGAACTATTGGAGATGTAGCTTTTTAAACACATTCTGCATCCTGCTCAGTGAGGAAACGTCGTCCACTGAGTTTTGATGCATCCTTATTGTTTTTCTTCTGTCAGCAAAGACACATTTGCACCCATACATGCTGGACTCGTAACACCACCCCCCACCATTTTTCAAAGGTGCTTTGGTCAGCCAGGGGTCCTCAGCTACATTCATATCTATATTTTGATAGAGGGTGAACAGTTGAATTATGAATTTTGTTAAAGTTGACTAGAAGTTAGCATGAAGGTCTCCTGGGAGCATCCTGGGAGGCAACTACAATGCAAATAATTTTATGCTCATCCACAAGTCTTGTTCTCATCTGTTTGGCTACTTGTTTCTTGTTTTGTAGTTTTCTTACTCTTTTAGAACTCAGCCACTGATTTTGGTAACTAGCTGTGATCTCTCTCTGGGAATCAGCAGCTTTTCTTCGTTTAAGGAGTTTTATAGTGTGGTTTAGTTCATTGCTTTCCTTTTTTTGTTCTCTCTCCATACTCCATACATGGACCCAGAACGGGGATGAGGACAGTGTGATAAATGTGAACGAAAGCCTCGGCCACACAGGCCTAGAAACCCGTCCGTGACCATGTGGAAAAAAACAGAAAGAAAAATTATTTAATTTTTTCTTTTGTATTTTTCTCACTTCCTGCACAGCCGATGGCTGCCCCACCCTGAACCTCTGGTTCTGCCAGAGGTTTCTTCCTGTTAAAAGCGTTTTTTCTTTTCACTGTTGCCAGGTGTTTGCTTATTGGGGTCTCAATAATACGGTAGTCTTTATCTTGGAGTGCCTTAAGGCAACTGTTTTTGTGATGCTATAGAAATAATCTTGAATTGATCTGAATTTACTTTAATGCCGAAACTAAGTTACAATAAATTCAGCCATTTTTCTTTCCCTTCCATTATTTTGTCAGGATTTTTTCTTTTCATTGGCACAAGTGGAGTTCAGATGGAGTTCAGCTTGATGAAATGCAGAAAGGCTTTATTTCTGCGTTGTATTTGACTCTTCTTCACCATCACTCGTAATAATATCTGTTTTGTTTTGTTTTTCTAGCGCTCTTTTTCCTCTTCATCCGCAATATGCGACTCTGTTTACCATTATTCACAGCATAATGATCGTTACTGAATTTGTGTTTCAAGTCTTTTTGTAGCTTTAGATTCATCTTCAAGAGCTCAACTAAAAATAACTTTTTGTTGTTTGCTAATTCTTCTCATTTTTTCTCGCACCATCCTTCTTCCCCTCTGCAGCAGTACTTTACACTGCTCATTATAACAGACGGTGTCATCAGCGATATGGATGAGACGCGCGACGCTATTGTGCAGGCATCGAAGCTACCCATGTCCATCATCATCATTGGCGTGGGCAATGCCGACTTTGCCGCCATGGAGTTCCTGGATGGGGACGCCAGCGTTTTGAGGTCCAGCACAGGAGAGGAGGCTGTTCGGGATATTGTGCAGTTTGTCCCTTTCAGGGATTTCCGCAACGTAAGTATTGGTTTCAGTAGATACGCACAAATATGTATAAACACCCAGTCTGATATGTCCTTATTCTCCAAATTGGCTGATGCTGCCCTCGAATACATGTAACCCGAAATTCTTTCTGTTTACATAAAAAGAATTCAGTTTCTTCTCATAATGTTTCAGATTTCACATAATACACAAGGCCTGCTGAAATGTGTTCATTTTAATGAGGCTTCATACATGTTTGCTGCAGGTCAGCACACTGGTTAATTAGTGTGTGCACATTTTCAGGCTGTGCACAGGAGGGCTCATTAGGGCATTTTGGGTTTTGTCATCGTCTTTTTATGTGTTTAAAAAGACGATTTTTTGTCTGTGTGTGTGTGTGTGTGTGTGTGTGTGTGTGTGTTTGTGGGCTGATGGTGGGCGAGTTGATTTCCTCTGTAGTGGGAGGAACAGACAGTGTTTACTGGCTTCATTCCAGATTGTTGGTGGGAGGTTAAGAGACAGCAACTGACTGAACAGAGAGGAAGAGAGAGAAATGAAGCCTAAGACAGAGAGGAAATGTGGAAATTACCTGATTGATAAGCTGTGCTGGGAGGGTAGATTCTTTTGTACTAATTATTATCATTAGGGTTGTATAGTGCTACTTTGAAAGTTAACAGTTTTTTTTAACAAGTTAAAATGGGACTTGATGCTCGGTTCAAGCTAAGTATGATGGGTCCTGGGCTCCACTAAGGTAGTGTTGTTTCCCAGTTTGATTAGCTGCACCTCAGGGGTTTGGGCAGAGATGGCCATATTAACAGTAGAAAAATCTATGAAACAGAGTGTTTAGAGCTTTGTGAAGGCTGCTGTACAGCTTTTGGTATAAAGATATTACTTAGCAACCTTTTTACTTAAGAGCATCCGTCACTGTACCTGTTTAGAGATGACAGGAAATAAGGAAAAGAATTAAACATTTATAAGTAAGGTGAAAGCAGTCAAAGCATTAGCTTTAAATACTGAGCTTTACCACATGACATCCTTGACACATTAAATTCAGTTTAGCTCAGTTTTATTTATCAAATTGTCATTTTTCCCAGCGAATGCCATCAACCTCTAGCGACCACTTGCAGTCACTCAGGGAATATTCATTTATCCTCTCACAAGCAGTGGTCGTCAGATGGTCATAGACTGGTCTCTAAGCCTTATTATTATTATTATTATTCACTTGATCCTACATTGTCATCATGATTGTCACACACTGGTGAACAAGTTAATGTGCTTAGTGGTAACTTGTCTACAATACCTCAACACTTAGTAGTATAAAAAGTAAGAGTAGTTATTATGCATTTATGGTCAATTTAAGAATTCTGTCTTCACTCATATGGACGCTGTACACATATTGCACTTGGTAAGTGACAGGGTAAATGGCTAATGCACAAGCCGACTGTTTTGAACACACTCCACACACAATTTCACGGTGAGTGTATTAAAAAGGCCAAGGTTTCTGTACGTGAGTGAAAATGTCTCATTTTATATCTTCACTTTATTCAATCTAAAACGCAATGTGTTGTTTTTTTTCTCTTCCTCTCAGGCGCCCAAGGAAACCCTTGCTAAGTCAGTTCTGGCTGAGCTGCCTCAGCAGGTCACCCAGTACTTTAAGCAGCGGAATCTACCGCCCATTAACTCAGCGCCAGAGTGAGACGCCCCGAAGACGAGAGCCCACACGAGATACAAGAGCTTGACGAAACCCCTCCTTTTTGTTAGTGGCAAACAAAACAGAACGAAACTGTACAGTATATGTCAGCAGTAGACAAAAATTAGTTGTGGAAAAAAAAAATCCAACGTTGAAGACATCTCTAAGTTTTCACTGATTAAAGAATGTTTGGTCAGTTTTCAGTGTAAACCCATCTGAAGTGATGCTCTTTCTTTCTTCAGTCTTTCCAGCACACAGAGCAGTGATGATAATGTGTAGAGTACCTTGCATGTCCAAAATGTGCAGATAAAATGCAGGTGAAACACTGGCCTGTTTAGGGGAAAATAAATTAACTTACCAGGATGTGTTTTTTTTCTTTTGCTTTTTGCATGTGTATGTGTCTTGTGATTGATACCATGTGATACATACAACTCCTTTGTGTGAAGTCCTCTTTAAGCTGAATTGTATCAGTGGTTGATTCCTCTTTATTCTTGTACCTTTTGAGGTAGCATATCAGATGAAAGCTGTTTGCTTTTGTGCTCATGTGTGATGGACTCATACACTGAGCAGAGCAGCATTTATTTAACCCTCCAGGGGGAAGGGTTCTGTTTAAAAGTTTTGATCAGCAGTTATCTGGGAGGCAGATTTAATGCTCCACTATCCTTGGTGAAGTAAAGAGGACATAACCAGAGAAGAATGAGGCATACTGGCAGCTGTAGCACTACCACAGGACAGATGTTGGACACTGAGTGTATTCAGTAGGCCGTTTTGCTAGCTTTTGCAAAATCCGTGTATTTTACTTATGACTTAAGTTCATCCTGCATGTTGCCAGTATCTACTCACTGTTTACAAACTGATGATCACAAACGCATGATGGTTTTTTTTTCCTCAAATTATGTACTTACCAGATTTTGTAAATATTTTATGAGATTCTGTTGCAAGCAAAGAAAGTATTACGTGATAAAGACAGAGGCTGCAGCTGTCACAGCCTTAACGACTGGAGAGGGCAGAGAGAGCAGGGAAGGTTCTGATATGCATATATCGAATGTATATTTCTATGACACTGTTTATGTTATAAGAAGCCAATGTTTATGCCATGTTTTTAATGTACTTTTTATGCAGTGCTGAATCGTGTAATTAAACTGAAATGTGTATTGCTGTGCATCTTTGTACTAAATGTGTTGCTATTAATTTTATAAAGTTGTGTCTATGTCCACACTCAGGATAATAAACTAAAGGAAAAGTCTCTTGGCCTCTGTGCAATGCCTATTGCACAACTTCCATTGAGTACTTATGAGACTAGCAGTATGATGCTGTAACTTTGAAACCACTTGTTATCCTGTTCCTGGTTGATCTATGATTTCAGTTGCATTTTCTTTGTTTTATAGTCCATTAAATATTTTCATCGAATGGCAGCTCTGAACTGTAGGACCGAGCCACACTCTGATAATGTGGAGAACATTGACTTCCCTGAAAATGATGTCGGGACAGCAGCACATGTTGCTATAACACTTGGTACAGAATTAACGATGTCTTCAAAGATTGCAAGTTACCAAAGATCTGTGCACTAGTCTAGTCTGTGCACTTATAAGTCTCTGGATTGTTTTTAAAGCACTACCATCTAAGAACCTAAAGATCACAGCCATTCAGCATTTATCTGGATCCTTCTCACTTATATATTAAAAAAATCACCAGATTCTTTGAATGCAAATGTAACCTGTGGTTTTAACAGAGGAGTGAACCCTGCCCACTGATACCCCTGCCTCTCTGAGTTGCTCTTTTTATACTCATGTTGCTGACTTTTGTCAGTTAACCAAATTAGATGTAAAATGCTCGATCCGGTGTGTTTTTCAGAATTGTTTCCAGTGTTGTTGAAATTGGTTTTTTTAGTAATAAAATTTCATCAACTTTAATGTGCAAAAATCACAGTAGATTTTGGGGCAGCAGTGGTGGTCGTTTTTGCAGGTGGTGCATTGATTAGCACGTTTGGCTCACAGCATAAAGGTCCTGGGTTCAAATCCAGTTGAAACCTTTCCGAGTACTCCTACTTTCTTCCACAGTCCAGACATAAACAGAGTTAGATTAATTAGTCATTCTAAATTGATCATTAATGTGATGATTGTCTGTCTCCGTGTGTTAGCCCTGCAGCAGTTTGGCAACTTTTCCAGGGTATACCCTGCTTCTTGCCCAATGACAGCAGAGATAAACTCACATGACCCACATGACAGGATAAGAGGAAAGCTGGATGGCATTATGTTTTTATCAGCAGCTTTTGGAAATAACGCTGTATGAATATTCTCAAAATAACCACAAAAAAGTAGCCACAAAATGATGCAAAAAAACTAAAAACAAACACCCACAAAATTATCTGAAGCTATGCAACATAGAAACAGCTACAACGCAATGTAAAAGGACCACAATAAGACGTTTAACACCAGTGATGCAGGGTGACTATAAAGAGATACAAAATTACTACAGAAGAGGAAATGCAACCTTTAAAGCAACCACATAGAAACAAATAAATACAAATAGATGTCCACTCACCCCAAGCTTCTACACCTGCCTCTATACATAAGAGCAAATTTTACAGACCCAGAGATGTGGACACTTATACCAGGCCTGTCTTTAACTCCACATGACTCACCTCTGATTTTTCCCATTGGTTTTGCTTAGACTCAAGAGATCATGAATTACAGCCTGCCGCTATTAAACAGACTAAGGAGACTAATTTCAGCTTACATAAAATTTGGCAGCTTAGAAACATGAAATACTGCAAAGAGGAAAAGAAACTTCTTGAACCTCTGTGGACAGAGTGTGGATTTTATAGTCCTGTGGTTTAACACCTCTGCCTTTGATACAAACTACCTTGGACACACTGTATGTAATAATTGCCAGATTAAAAAACAATGTTGCTCCTGGGAGTGTGTGGTTTGTCTCAAAATGCAAATTACCTATTGACATTTTCGTACATTAGTTGTGTGTCAGGTTGTCATAGCAACGCTTTTTACAGCGGCACCACACTAAACTAAGACACCCATGCCATCCTTAATGATGTCAGTGAACTGAGCTCAGATGCACTTGTTTCTGACCATCATCACAAGATCAAATCACCTTCTAGTCCCATTTCACAAACTATGTTTCTAAAGGCTTTGAGATTGAGTCTCTTATTTGAGCAGCAAACATTTAATCCATTAAAGAGAATTGAAAAATTGTTAAATGTTTAGCTTATTAACACACTGAGAGTATTTAAATGTTATCTTCACACCTTGACTGTCACCCTGTTTTTCAATCTCAAGTCAGCCAGCTGAGCTCAGCTCCAGATGCACAGTTCTCCTGCCAAGATCTTAATGAGAACTGAATACACATTCCACAATCCAATTAACCAAATTAATTTTGATCTAGTCCAATTTTGCGCATTAAATTCAACACCCATGTCAGTCTGATTCTGAGCCACAGTATTGTGCAGACAGATAACAGGCCCTTTCATATACAGTCATAAAGAACCACCTGCAGTGACAAGAAGAACAAGAAGAACAAGAAGAACAAGAAGTCCGACAACAGATGGTTTGATCCCCACAGAGCACTGATGTCAACTTCCTGAAGTCAGTCCAGATTTCAAGGAAGACACTGAAGACACAGAAACAGCTTGAATCCACAAAAGACTCGTGCAACAAGATACTTGGAAGAAGCAACCTGCTAAGATTCTTGGAAAACTGTGCACAAAGTCTACCTAGAACAACGGGGACTTTTTTGCTTCTTTTTTTTTAAGTCAGCGTGGTAACACAAAACATCTCAAAGCTGTCGGAACTGTCACCAAACTGCATTGTTAGAAATATAACAGAACGTGTGTAGTGAAAATGATTTCTCTAGTTTAGTTCTAGATCTTCATTTTGTAATTAATTTTCTTCTTAACCATCACTTGTGAAGTACCCTTAAAGGTACATTGAGAGTGTAATTTCCAACAAACTGATTTTCTCAAAAAAAAAAAAGCAAACTTGGAACTAATAAATTTAAAATAGACAGGAGTGGGTGAGAGTTTGTGGAAGCTACCATGTTATCCCACTATCTTGAATACAGTGGCTGAGATGGATATTGTCATTCTGCCAAATCATATTTAATGTGTGTGGGTAGAGACCAGCCACTTACTATGTGGCAGGACAAAGATGAATGAGTAGAGAACTCGTATGTTCGTGTGTCATGGAGGCAAATTTTAACTTTTGTCTGCACTTACTGACTTGAGATGTGAAGGATCGTACCATTTTATAAGAAAGAAGTGAAAACACAAATGAACCCTCATCCTCTTCACTTCAAGCCTCATCTACCTGAATGAATACGGGGCTTTAAGACAAAAACAAAAAAACATGTAAAATTACTTATTGTTAGGCTCGAGTGATGTATACAGTCAATATCGATTATTGGGAGCCAGAGCTGTTGGATTATGCGCTTGAACTGGGAGGGGTAAAAGCATATAACTCAGGTGACTGCAATCTGTAGTCTACCTGTTATTATTGTTTCTTGTGCACGCTTACATATTTTCTTGCCAATCTGAGCACCTGAGAGTGGAAGCCTACACTATCTCCTTTTTAAATGACTTTTATCTGACCCTTTAACTGAAACGTCTTGAACAGTGAGATTTGCTGATGAAATGCAAAGGCATTTTCTTTGTGTTGTGTGCGCTTGACAAGAGAGTCACAAAAATTCTGTGTGTACTTTTACATTTTACAATCACTGCTAGGCAGATTTTGTTGCTTCTGGACAGAACCAGGATTGTTGTTTTCAATTTCTAATTGAAATTAATTATTGTTAAGCAACAGATTTTTAAAAATACTAGACTTCTTGGACCATTTGTACTTCACAGCAGGCCATATTATTTTTTAAATACCTCCATTATAAATGCACTAAAAGGTAAGAACACCACAAAACGAGTCCCAGAAGACAACTGAAGGCTACAGGAACCATTCCAACAAACTTTAATACAATCCAAATAAGTGAGTTATAAGTAAGATTCACCCCAAGACGGTTGTTATTAACCTTAAGTAAAAATACTTAAACCCTTTTTTGTACAAGGTTCTAAATATGTTCATCAGATGAACTTCAGTTTCTGACTTTTCCACTTATTCTGCTTAATTTTCAGCCTTTCGGGTTACCAGTGTAGAGAAAACTGTATTGCTCATCCAGTGGGTACAATATGAACAAAAAGTGTAATTACAGGTTTTCCTTTTCCATGAAGCTCCAGCTTTCAGCAACACTTTCTGAGAATGTTAGCTGCAATGGCAAAAATCCAAATTTAAGGTGAATAATCCATAATGGAGCCCTGGAGAGGGAGCAAAGAGCAGGGCTCAGATGCAAGTAGAAAGGCAGAATATTCAACAGGTTCTGTGCTCCCTTTAGGGGCAGCCATTACATCTCTACATTACTGTGCTGGAGAAAGTGACACAATTCTGATGGGCTAAGAAAAGCACTCAGGCAGAGAGGCAGAGCGAGGGAGAGAGGGTGACATAGATAAAGAGACTAAAACAAGAACAGGAGATGGACAGAGCTCAGGAGACGTGAAATAGGGTCGCGATGCAGAGACAGAAGAACATGGTGACAGAGGTGCACAAAGGTTGAGCAGTGGACACACAGTTGGCCAGTGTGTATATGCAAACTATAGAATCTTCCTGATTTTCCACAGCATTAGTTTAGCTCTGCACCTCTGTTTCTTTGTGCACTTTGTGTTCACAGCAGCAAATGACTGTATGCAATTGTCACCGTAGCTACCAGCCTATGATTCAGTTTCCACGACAACCCATCCTCTTCTTCATCTGCAGAGAACCTTTCGGTTAGAAACATGTGTGTCTCCAAAGACAAAGAGAGAGGGTGACAGTGAGGCTGAAATGCTCAGAGACCAGCCACATCGGGAAAGTAAACATTTCTGAAGCTATTTCAGGTGTACGCACACCGCCGAGCTCTGGTGGCGTAGGATCTGGCTCTTGAGTTATAAATCTAAACTAATGTCTAGCATTTGTACAGAAACAGACAGCCAACAAGGGCATGATGCAGAGATTGGCACTGTTGCCTCTGGTCAGCTGGGGCCTTTCTGTTTGGAGTCTCATGTTCTCCCAGTGAGTGTGTTTGTATTTTATTTATTTATTTATTTATTTGGGGGGGGGTCCATGAAAGTCAGGCTGATCAGCAACTGATTAGTAAGGTTAAAATATCAATACTACAGTCTAAATATCAGGAGAGCAAATCAATATGCTTTTGG